CCCCGGCAGGGACTGGGCCCAGCCCCTCCAGCGGGAATGGCTCCGCCCGGGCCTCGCCTCCAGTGCTCCATCCCGCCCCCTCCCGCCGCCACCGGAAACAGGCTCAGCCCAAACAATGGCCTGGAACGCCCCGCTCTCGGGCCCCGCCGGAAGCCTGTCCAGCGCCCAACAAAAGCGATGCTACGGTAAGGCCGCAAGGCTCCGCGTGGGGCGTGCGGGGAAGAAACGTTCGCTGCAGAACGTTCATGAGAAAACGCTCTATCCACTCCCAGCCGGCCCCGCCCCTCCCTGACCTACCATAGACACCGTCCTCCATGGCGGCTAGGAAGGCCCGCGGGGAGTCCGGGGCAGTCCCGCCAGTCGGGCCTGGATCCGCGTTAGCCCGCGGGCTCGGGTGAGCCCGCTCAAACGCCCCGGGAGCCACCGCCGCCTCCTCAGCGCCAGTCCGCAGCGCTGAAAAGACACTCCTTTCGCCGCCCAACCGCCCCGCCAATAAGGACCGCCCCTCTTTTGACACTGTCCAATCCACGGTGGGGCCTTTCGTCTGTTCCTCCCGCGACACCAAAGGATAATCTTCCAGGGCCAATCGGCGCACAAGGAGCAGATGTAGGACCGTCCGGCTGGAGGTAGACGGTCTGAGTGGCCAATTGGAGTGCGGGCAGGTCTCTAAGCCCCGCCTCCGAAACAAAAGACAGCACTTGGCAGACTTGCCCTCCAATGAGAAACCTCGGAAAGCAGTAGCATGGAGGTGGAGCTATGTAGAGCCAAAGGACTGTGCCTGCGCAAAGGCTCTGGGCTGTAGGAGACTGGGTCAATTGAGCTCCGCCTCTAGTAATCCGTTGCTAGGAGGTGGTACTTTGTGTTAGCCTTGTTGCCAGGGGGCGGATACGCAACTCTGGGTTGTTTTCGTGAACCACACCTCCGAGGCCAGCCACGCTGGCTTTTGGCGTCAGATGTTGGGGTGCAACCGGGAGCAGCTATGGCCTACGTTTTTTGGCCTCCCTTTTCTGAGTACCTCTCCTTTCTTCCAGCCCCCTTCTATCTCCAAACCTTCTCATCCGTCTCAATCTCTTCTTCAAAGAATGTTGAAACGAAAACCTATTCTTTCTCGTAGATGCTGGGGTTTTTTTGTTTTTGTTTTTGAGACAGAGTCTGAAGCTGTCGCCCTGGGTAGAGTGTCGTGGCGTCACAGCTCACAGCAACCTCAAATTCTTGGACTTAAGCGATTTTCTTGCCTCAGCCTCCCAAGTAGCTGGGACTACAGTCTCCCCCAACAACGCCCAGCTATTTTGTTGTTGTTGAGGTTGTCATTGTTTTAGCTGGCCTGGACCGGGTTGGAACTCGCCAGCCTCGGTGTATGTGCCCAGCGCCCTACCCACTGAGCTACGGGTGCCTCCCCTAAATGCTATATTATTTGATACCTATCTGGAGAAAGAAACAACAAATTTTGTTAAAGCACAGGCTCCGCCTTTCTGGTGCCTTCTGCCTCTCAGGCTCCTCCCTCATTCCACCAACTCCTCCCCTGATTTTAGCATCCTCATCCTAACCCTCTCCCTTCCCCAGCATTACCCACTGTAACAATTTCCCTCTCCTCAGCATCTTCCCACCTTTCAGATTGCCCCTACTCTCCTGCTGTCCTCACTTAGGTTCCTCTGTCCTCATACTCTTGCCCTTCTTTAACTTCTCCCTCCTTTCAAAGTCCTTCCACATCTGAGGCCTCTCCCCAACCCCAGCCTCTTGTTCCCATTACATTCAGGGAAAGGGGATTTGGGGCCTGGCCAGAATGGGGAAGTGGGGAACCCCTGTAAAGAGGCAGGCCATAATGGGGGCTAAAGTGATGTCTGGGCCTTGTCCTCGTTCACTGTCCCTGGGCTGGGCAGGTGGGGATGGATTTGGGGACAGGACCTGGTTAAGCTATCGGATTAGACATGGAGCCTCCTAATCCCCTCACTGACCTTTATGAGTAGCCCAGGTCCTGCCGTCCCCTGTAGAGGGACCCAGGCTGTGCCAGCCCTGCCCCCACTCTCTTTCCAAACAGAACCCCCTTCCTGCCCTTTCACCTCCAACTTAACATCCTTCCTCAGCCTTGAGTTTCCATTGTCCTAGTCCCTACCCCAGACACTCTGAGCTGGGAAAGCAGCCAGCTAATTAATCCCATCCGGTTATTACATGAGGATTCTGAAGGATAAAGGGAGACAGAGAAGCCAGAGAGGGGACCTGGGTTGATGCAGCTAAACTTAGGCAGGCTGATGGGCCATGGCTGGGGTCAGAATATGTCTTTCTCCTTGGGACTAGCTTCCTCTGCAGCTGGCATCCAGCCTACTGGGCACTTAGGTAGATGGCAACATGGGCAGGGGGCCAGGCCCAAAGACCCATACCCCAGAAACACACTCACAGACACACTCACCTGGACTCCCAGTTCTTTAATTTGGGGGACAGGTGTCCCTCAAACACCATCTTTTCCACAGTGGGGCAAACCCTGGTGTTTAGAGCTACCTCCTCCTTCCTAGCTTCCCAAGCTAGATCAGGGAGGAAGTGACCATGGCTGTTAGCCATAGCCCTTGCTGTCCTTTCCCTGTGATTCAGACAACCAAGTTAAGAACCAGCCTCCAACAGCATCTTCCATTCCAGACACCCCTAGAAGGCTGTGTAGTCCAGCAGCATGGAGCTGGGAAATCCCCAGGGCCTGCAGCTCCCCCACCTACCCTTCTTCAGAGGGGTGAGGAATCACCTTTCTGGGAAGGCCATGGAGATTCAAATTCCCCCATTTTTACAGATGGGGAAACCGAAGTGAAGAGAGGACAGTGATTAGCCCCAAGTCATACAGGAAGTTGGGGCAGAGTTGGGATTTAGAGCAAAGCTTCCTTGACCCTTGAAAAGGATGCCATTGCAATTAGCTGGAGCTCCATTTCTAACCCTGCTGTAGGAGCCAGCGGAAAAAAAATAGATATCTGTATTTATATTATATATATATATCATACACATATGTATAACATCTTTAAGAAATAGACACACATCACTAAGTATAGGATTCCAGAGTGCTCTAGACTCACCAGCCTTGGGCTTCCCCCTTCCCTTGCTCACTAATTAGCCCTGTGACCTACAGGGTCTTACCTGAGGCCTCACCTTCTAGGTCAGCCCAGAAATGCTGTTTATCAAGTTCTCAATTCACCTCCCAAATGCTGAGTAGTCCCTGGAGGTGATTAGAACTTCCAACCTTTGGTAATGGACAACTCTGGATCTCTGGAGCCTTAATCCCTTTTGGCATTACAGAACCACAAGAAGTCATCTAGAATCATCATGATTCTCACCTCCACTGGGCAAACTGGGAACCAGCAAATCTTAGACATCTAGACTCGCCACTCCTTCCTTGACTCTGTGATTAAGCTAGAGCCACAGAATCCTGATTCCTATTGGACATTCTAGAATGGCACTTAAAAAAAAACGAAAAACCCACCACCCTGTGAATTATTTAGAAGCACCGCTCATTCCCCTCAGGTGGGTGCTCTATAACCAGAAGGTGGGGTTCTCTAATATCAAGAACTCCTAGTCAGTCACTTTAGCTGTTCTAAACCCACAGACTCATCATTGTTTTGTGCATTCTAGAAACATAACTCTAGTTTCTGGCGTAATTCAACTCCCGAGGTCAGTGGTTCTCAACTTTCCTAATGCTGCAGCCCTTTAATACAGTTTCTGTGGGTCACAACTAATAGGTTGAGAACCTCTGCTCTAGGTCAAACCTGTTCTAGAATCACCAGTGCTTCCCTCTGTGGTCAACCTAGACTCACAGAATCTCAACTCTTGGGCTTTCTGGAACCACAGGTCTTTTCTTGACTTGGAGTCACCTTTCCTTATCTTTGGTCAATCAAGATGGTCTTGAATACTTGGGGCATTCCACAACCTTCCCTCCTTAGGTGGTCTAGAACAAATGATTTGCAACTTTGTTGGCTGAATAAAGAAGCAATAGTCCCTTGAATCTCAGGTGAATCCAGATCTACAAACTCTTGATCTTTGATACTGTTCAAAGACTGCTGACTTTCTTCACTGGAGGTGATATATACCACTGATTTCTGACCCTGCTTAACACAGGCCCAATCAAGCAGAAGAATGTAGAACCACCAGTCTTTGCCTCTTGGGTGGTCCAGAATTCTGGATCTCTCAGCTCTGGTGGGACTCAGCAATTGGGCTGATAAAGGGGTCTCAGGAAGAAGCACAGAAACAGAGGAATTAAGGTCCAGTCTGTGGTGAGTCCACCAGTCATGGCAGAATCTCACCAGCTCATTCTTTACCCAGCAGGCATTTTGGTCTTGGGAAACACCCACCCTCATCCCAGGAGAGGGGTCCATCTCTCCATCTTGCTACCTCTGGGAGGGGATACAAACAGGGAAGGGGATATCAGCCTTGCATCATGGGGGCAGGGTCAGTGCCAAAGTTGGTGTGAGAACTCGGGGGTTGGCAGCCCCATCTTCTGTCTCCATCCCATTCCCCTCCTTGGCCTCCTCTTCCTCATCTTCCTCTTGGCAGCAGCTCAGAGCAAGTTCATTTTCATAACAAAATGCAGCCAGAGAGCCAGGGAAGCTAGATTTGGGGCTGTTGGAGGCCCGCTCTGCCCGTTCGTCCAGCTCCTTGGCGCTGCAGACAGGTGTCCCTGGGACCTCGTAAGTGCGATGAAAGTGACGATAATCGACCTCATACTGGGAGCCACGCTGGAAGAGGACTGGCTCGAAACGATGGCCCCAGAGCAGCTCACCAGGGAGGTAGGATGAGCGACATTGTGTGGTCATGGCAGTGGCTTCGACCATTCCCTCAAGAATGACCACCAGCTCAAAGTCGGCCCGGGCCAGCTCAGCACGTCCTAGCTCATACAGAGGACTAGAAGAGTCAATCTCATGCACGATGGTGATAGGAGACACAAGGAAGATTCGATCAGTACCTCCATCAAAGCCCACATCAACGTCCTGGTGGTCAAGTGGGATGTATTCACCCTCTGGGGTCACTCGGGGCTGCAGCAAAAGGCAAGGAGCCAAAGACAGAGAGCAGGGAGCACAGAGATGAGCAGAGACAGAGAGAGTGAGAAAAAGTAATAGAGATGCAGAGAAAGAAGAGAACAAAGACCAGTAGTGGTGAGGGGCAGGGTGAGAATGGGGATCCATAGAGCAAGAAAGACAGAGACAAAAGGGAGGGCACAGAGACCCAGTGAGAGGGAACCAGAGACCCAGGGGGAGAAGGGGACAGAGACCCAGGGAGGGGAAGATGAAGTCCAGAGAAAAGATGGGATAGAGTGAGAGAGGTTTTGGTTTGGGGGATAGAAACCCACAGGACAGAGAGAGAGAGAGAGAGAGAGAGAGAGAGAGATTGGCATAGAACCACAGAAATCAGAAAGACAGAGATGAAATCAAACACACAATAGAAGATAAGGAAGACATCCAGGCAGGAATGTGATGAACAGGAGAGGGATAGAAAAAAATGGTTTTCAATATATGGACAGAGAAAAATAAAACAGGATGGCAATAGAAGAAAAAAGTACATCTGGGTCCAAAACCCTATACTCTTCCACTGCCTCAGGCTAGCCCTGGACTATCCCCTCCCCAGGTACGAGCTCACCAGTCCTTGTGTGTGCCTGTGCATTGTGGGTTTGCCCCACCTACCCACTGATTCCATACCCACCTCCCAGGCCAAGTCCCTGCCTCAGACTTCTAGAAGAGGCAGTGTCCCTCCTGGTCATGAATTCCAGTGTCTCAGTCAGGGAGGAGACCAAGATGGAAGGTGGGCACCTATTTTCTTGCCCCTGGGAACCCTATGTAGAGGAAGCCCAGAGGTTGCTGGGAATTATAGTTCTCACCATCCCCCCCCCATGTTCCCTCTCCCTGAAGTCCAACTTCAGTCCAGATTTCTTATGGGTCTTATTTTGGACAAGGGCAGCTGCTGCCCCCAGAGATGTCTGAGCAATCTGACTACAGTTCCAGGAACACTAAGGGGAGCCATTACTTCAGATGCTGATGAAAGGTGTAGTAGTTTTTTGTTGCTTTTCTTTTTTTAAGACAGAGTCTCACTTTGTCGCCCTCGGTAGAGTGCCATGGTGTCACAACTCACAGCAACCTCCAACTCCGGGGCTTGGGCGATTCTCTTGCCTCAGCCTCCCAAGTAGCTGGGACTACAGGCGCCTGCCACAACTCTCAGCTATTTTTTGTTGCAGTTGTCACTGTTATTTAGCTGGCCTAGGCTGGGTTCAAACCCACCAGCCTTGGTGTATGTGGCTGGCACCATAACCACTGTGCTATGGGCACCAAACCATGTGTAGTTTGTTTGTTGCTGAGAAGCTACAGTTCAAGACTGTTTTCCAACCCCCATCCCATTTCTAGATGGCAAGAGGTGGGGGCAGGGAGGGGGGACTGGGGGACTGAGGTGGGGAATGGAAGTCTCCCACAGAGGCTGCAGGACCCTCTTTGTAGGGGCCTAGAGAACTGTGTTCTCCAGCTTGGCACACGTGAGCTGCACCCCATCGCTGGGTCTTCATGTCCCACAATCCCATAGGGGCATGGCCTCAAGTCCTAGGCCAATGTCTGTGCCACAGTCCACTAAGAATTACAAACCTGAGTCATCGAAGTGTCACCCAGACCCACCAAATTACATCTCCTTAAACCACCCAATCTCAGGCACTTCTGGTAACCCAAAGGCACCTGTCGATTGTAGTCTAGAGCCATATAGGCCATGCTGGCCCTCTCTGGTCTAAATTCCCCACAATCCCACAGGGAGGCCTCCCTTAGACCTTAGGAAGCTAGTTCTATCTCAAGTCTAGGCCTCTCTCTTGTAAGAGCTGGTCACAGACCTCTCTTGAGTTTACATCTTCACCTCCAACTGCTCAGTGAATCAGCAGCCCACAAGGACTGACCCCATAAAGGCTGCTTGCCTCCAGGCCTACATCCCTGGCATGCCCGAGGGCCCCAACCCGGCTGAGAGCCCCAGCGGCCTACCACCGCACCTGCAGCAGTTGGGCCCGTACATGGGCCTCGACCAGGTGGCTGCGGCGCAGGTTGCCGACGCGCCACATGAGGCAGAGGCGGTGGTCTCGCAGCGCCACCACAGCGTTCTCGCTGAAGACAAGTGTCTCATTGCGCTTCTTGGGCTTGGCCATCTTGGCCATGACAGCGCCCACGACGAAAGCGTCAAGCACACAGCCTGCGATGCATTGCAGCACCACAGCAGCCACGGCGGCTGGGCACTCCTCCGTGACGCTGCGCACACCATAGCCAATGGACGTCTGTGTCTCTAGTGCGAAGAGAAAGGCGGCCAGGAAGCTGGCTACCTGGGAGAAGCAGGGCGCAGGTGGCGGTGGGGCAGCCAGGTCACCGTGCAGCGAGGCGATGAGCCAAAATGCTAGGCCAAAGAGCAGCCAGGAGGCGAGGAAGGAGCAGGAGAAGAGCAGGCACATCCAACGCCAGCGCACATCAACGCATGTGGTGAACAGGTCGCTCAGGTAGCGTGCGCCCTGGCCGCCCAGGTTCACGAAGCGCACGTTGCAGTGCCCGTCCTTCTTGACGAAGCGTCCGCGGCGCCGGCCCACTGGTGATAACACTGGAACCCACCCGTTGCGGCAGAGCCCGGGGCCAGCCTCCTCATCATCACCTGCCCGACTGTCCCCTGACTCCAGGGCGCCGCTAAGGCGGCGTAGGGCCCTGGCCAGGCCCATTGGGCGGAGGGACCCCCTCCACTTGGCCTAGTGGGGGGCGGGCGCCCCCAACCTGCTGGGGCAAGAAATGGGCATAACCATCAGGGGTATCATGAATGGGAGGGGTCATGTGCTGGGCATACTGTCTGGGGCCTTTAGTGGCCTCATCTGTCCAATGGGTGGAACTATACTCACCTTCCAAGTTCAGAGTACAGCATGGATGGCAGTAACACTACAAAAAAGAATCGTGCAACAACAAACACAATGCTACAGCCGGTATCATAACAAGTGCCACAGTAATTACAGCAGACATTTATACAATACCAAACATACGAAAATTGTATAAATGTAGTCTGTTATACAAATTATACTGTTTATACAGCTTAGGCACTGTTGTAAGCACTTTACATGAATTTACATATCTGCACCTCGGAACAAGCCTAGTAAGTAGATACTGGCTAAGGTCACAGCTCAATAAGCTGAGATGTGAAGGCTGGCAGTGCAGCTGTAGGGTCTGTGCTCATAACTGCAAAATTCTTTTATTTTTTTGGAGGCAGGCTGTTGAGGCTGTAGACATGCACAGACCTACACACCACAAATGCAAACACCTTAACCACGAAATTCTAACTGCTTCTCTCTCCATAGAGTCAGCAAGCATGGAGAGTGATGAGCTCCAGCTTTGAGGTCAGCTATGGTTGAAAACAGGCTCAAGAGGCAATAAATGGAAAAAAGATAAATTGAATTTCATCAAAATTGAAAAACTTTTGTGTTTCAAAGGACACTACCGAGAAAGATCAAGACCCTGCCTCTACTAAAACAAACTAGCTGGGTGTTGTGGCAGGTGCCTATGGTCCCAGCTACGAGGGAGGCTGAGGCAGGATTACTTGAGGCCAGGATTTTCAGGTTGCTGCTGTAAGCTATGGCATTCTAGCCTGGACAACAGAGGGAGACTCTGTCTCTAAAACAAACAAACAAACAAACCATAACCAACCAACCATAACCATCCAATGGGAGAAAATACTATAGTTGCAAACCATATATCTCATAAGAAATGTCTATCTGCAGGGTGGCACCTGTGGCTCAGTGGGTAGGGTGCCGGCCCTATATACCGAGGGTGG